GGGAGGAACCCATGGAACCCATGATTTTTTCTTCTTTTTTTTTTTGGGTGGGAAATTTTCACAAAAAAATATTCCATGTCAAGCCAGATCATAAAAAAAAGGCATCCACATTGGATTATTAACGGCACAAAATGGCCACGTCACATTTTGTAACGGTACCGTGACGGCGCGTTAAAATGTTGGGTTTTTTACGGATTTTGAAAAATTGAGGGTGTGAATAGGAAGGAAAAATTCTGGAAGGTGTTGACCGTGAAAAAAAAATAAATGGAGGGTGCAAATAGGGGCTTTTGCCTTAACAATATAAGTGAAGTTTATGGTTATACTTTTAAACAAAGATTTTTTTTAATCTATGCTTTTAAAGTATATATTAAGAATAATTTTTAATATAAATTATTATTAAAAAATTCTGACATTTATTTTAAAATGATATTTGTAATATTGATAATAAAATTAATGTCAATTTTTGTTATTTTTTATATCAATCAATACAAAAAATATATTAATTATGCTCTTAATTTATACTTTTAAAGTATATATTAAGAATAATTTTTTAATATAAATTATTATTAAAAAATTCTGACATTTATTTTAAAATGATATATGTAATATTGATAATAAAATTAATATCAATTTTTGTTATTTTTTATATCAATCAATATAAAAAATATATTAATTATGCTCTTAATTTATACTTTTAAAGTATATATTAGATAAATTCTTAAATAAAATAATAAAATTAACAATTAAGCTACTTGCAACCACGTTTAAAATGTCAAAAAAAAAAAAAAGAAAAAGAAGAAGAAGAAAAGAAGTATGAGACTCAAAAGTCCTAGAAAATTATTGCTCCATTACTTTTACAAGAAAGTTAATCAAGGAATCATGAGTAGAAGATCATTGTAATCATAATGGGTCCTTCTTGCTTATGGTTCTCTATTTTAATGAATTCCACACAATCGTAAATAGTTTTAGTAAAAAGGGGCGAGGGTAGTTATGGTATTTGAGTTAGACGAGTAAAACCGGTGACTGGCAGTTGGAGGGAAGTGGGAAGGCTTAGGCGGCGAGTCGCATTCAGTTGGTAATGTAAAAGAGAGGCGTTTGTGGCTAATAGCTTTGCTGTTAAGTTCCTTACCGTTAGGAGGAAGAATCCTAAGCTCCCTCTTTACCAGAAATAAAAGTAAAGACCAAAGACGGTGGGTACCCAACGGCTAGTAGCTAGATTGGACTGGGCCTTTTTTTATTTTGGGCTTCGAAATGGGCCTTATGGGCTTCGAAATGGAAGCAATGGTCCAACAAATTTTCTTGTGAGCCGTGTAATTGCAACAACAAAAGAGACGCCTTTTTTTTTTTTCACTCCTACACATTAAAATTTGATTAATTTAAAATCAAATCACAGCTGATCTAATGAAAAGAAAGCTCTCCCAATACTTATTTATCTATTTATAAAACTTGAATTCAAAATCTTATTTAAAATAAACTAAATTTTTTTCACGAAAAACTAACAAGTTGTTGTTATACAAAACAAATGGCTGAAGGCACGCTTAATGGAAGAAATGTCAGCATACCTGATTGGACTGGGCCTAATGAGTTAATTTGGGCTTGAACTGGGCCCAAAAAATTTCTTATGGGCAATTTTTTTTTTAAAAAAAAAACTGCTAAGGGCATGCTTAAGAATAAAAGCGCTGAAGCTGCGTGTTTCCGTTGTTGACTTGGACGGTTAACGTGGAGTTTGAACTTCAGCGCCCACAAGTCGCAAAAACTTCAGCGCCCATCAGTCGCAAAACTTCAGCGCCCATCAGCCGCAATCTCTGTTGCTCTTTCCGATTTCCCGACGCCATGGATACGAAAGCTTCAGCTGTTGCTCTTTCCTATTTCCCGATACCATGGATACGAAAGCTTCAGCTTTAGGTCCTTCAGAAACCTCCGTAATCCCAATTCAATCCAAACCCAAAGATAGAGACTTCCTGAACCATCTCGAAGCTTACCTTGCGAAGAGAGATGGCGTGGACAAGCTGCTAAAGATCTCTGGGTACGCCACCAAGATCATTCTGGCCTCGTCAGTCCTCCCCGAGTCCCTACCGGTGGCTCAGCGCCTCAAGAGCTTTGAATCCAGTGTGGGACTAAGTCGGAAGGCTTTCCGACTCGGTAAATTCGTTCAAGACATCAACACACTGAGGAACTCGCATTTCGATTCCAAGCAAGAGATTTTCCTATCGATTGTTGCATATGGAGGTGAAGGTTTTTATTATTTTGTTGAACAGTTCATTTGGCTGGCTAAATCCGGATTGATCGATGGGAAACACTTGCGTAATCTGCAAAAAATCAGTGCTTGGGCTGTGTTCATCGGTCACTTAGGCAGTATTACTCTTAAAGTTAGGGATTTGAAGCAGATTACCGAAGACGAGAAGTGCTTGAACGCCAGTATTGAGATTGCGATTTCGAGAGGAATTGATCATCAAGTGGAAGAAGCGAGAATGAAGAAATTGAGAGAGAAGTTGTTAATGAAGAAACTTTCTATTGTTCAAGAATTGGCGGATGGGTTAATGGCGTTGGCTGATATTCGAGACGGTAAAGGGCATCTTTCAGGGCCGCTTTTGTTGGCGTCTGCTGGGCTCTCATCAGCAATCATTAGCACCCAGAAGAATTGGGTTTCTTGCTGAGTTTGATGCTCTTCTTCAAGGTATGATTGTCAATGTCAGGAAACCTGATTGTTTATCTTGTTTGAACTTAAAAGATGGTGTAATAAGAAAGTTTTGGAAGAGTTGGAGATTAACTGTAATTGAATTAACTTTGACACTTCTCCTTGGCAAAACAAAGATAGTTTATCAGTGTGATTTTGAACTATGTACAGCACGTAAACTTGGATTTAGATGGGATTCCTTGTTTCTACATTTTAGAATTTCAGTTCTCCAAACCATCTGATCCTTGGGAGTTTGAATATTTGGTTTGGCTTGCCTGTTGTTGAATAGAAACTAAGAATCCGTTGAAAAGAGAATTACTATCCTATATTTAGTTAATTCACTTGCAGATACGAAACCTTTTGTTGTAAAATGTTTTTAGTTACATTTGTCCATTTTATGAAAGAAAACTTAATTAGTGAGAAGTTTATTTATTTATTGGCTGTGTTGTTGTTTACCCTCAAATCTCTCAGTTTGTAGAAAATTCTTACCCATGGTTATCCAAAGCAAAGAACAAGTTGTTATATTTTATTGGTCCTAATTAAGAATTTAAGTTTAAAGTAAAGACCAAAGTGAAAGTATGTTTATTTGTATTTTTCAGGGAACCTTATTTACCCTGTGTTCTATTTTGCCTTGCATATTTGAGCAATGAGTCTAGAGGTCTTGACTCTTGCTTCTTCCTTGAAATCCTATTTCATGGGACAGGGAATTGCTAGTGGATTGTAATTTTTTTAGTCTTTGGTACACGAAGGATTTTAGTTCTTTGTTGTTAAAACTAAATATTGATTCTTAATTTATGTTGTGAAAAAAAAAAAAAAAAAAAATTGATTCTTAATTTATGTTGTGAAAAAAAAAAAAAAAAAAA